GTTTCAAGAAACACAATGTCAAAAAATCAGCTGCATCATCAAGTTCTTTAAGAAAATGCTCACAAGATTATTTAACAAGTAGAACAAGGAACTTGCAAAAGTATTAGCAGACCTGTCGATATTCAGGAGCTCGTTTTGGAAGTTTGAGATAACCCATGTTCATCATCTCATAATCCCACAAAAAGGACGTATGATGAACCCAACGCCTTTTTGTGATAGATTGAGCATTTCCCCCAAACTTGCGGTTACCAAAAGCGTAGTCTGTGATCATGTAGAAGTACAATAAAGTTGGTTATCTATGGAAGTTGGTTATCTATGAAAGTTGGTGAGCAATACATGAAACAATAATTCCTCAAGTCATATTAATGTGGGAGCTGGAAAAAAAGACATTCAAGCAGTCAGATGGATAGTGACAGGTGGGGGGTAGTATTCACCATTCGTATAAGGCTAAGTAAGACAGTGTACATAGAAACGGGAACCAACAGCACAGAGAGGAAAGGATATAACATTGCAAACAATAAGAAATAAAATACGGAAAAAGAAGCATCCAAGTGGTCATCCAATGAATGTGATTTTTCTTGTCAGGAAGTTAGCAAGAAAGTTCTTGAACCTTATATTCCAGAAACAATTAAATCTATACAAAAGGAAGCTCCCTTGACGAGTCATGAGTGCGGCGTAAAAGTTTTATTGGAGGACAACCACCATCATAGAATAAGTTCTTACTACAGCATTGTCAGACTGACACTCAACCTTCTAGACCCCAGTATATGCACAAATACATTGTCAGCCAGATGAAACTTCCAGTTTCTTTTTGTCAGTCAAATAAGTTTTACTAATATTGTGCAAACAAAACCATACAGCAAAGCATAAGCAAGTGTTTCCTCCTTAACAAAGTTAAAAGCAAGTGGTTTTTTCTTCTTTGGACAAGTAAAAAGTGAAGTGTTCTTTCTCTCTTTTCTTTTTTGGATCTCGATGAAGAAAACCTGCAACACTTCCTGCAAATATGCTGGACAGTCAATGATGAGCAATATCCTTGAGCAAAAAAAGTACCATTTTCACGAAGAGAGAAATCCCCAACTCCTTGAAACACTTTGCTATACAGCTGGCCACTCCATGACATGATGGGCCTAGGATATGGCTGTACACTAGGGAGAGCATCTGTGTTGCATATGAAAGTGATGAAAACTGTCCGGTGATCGACAATTACAGTGCCCCCTCCAGAAAACCTCTTAACTACTGGAACCTTGTCTTGTAAAACAGGACCAATTTCAAGAAGTTCAGCTGGTTTTCTGTGAAAATGGTTGATGCTGTTATATAAAATTACACAATCCAAAACATACAGCAGTAAAGTTCTATCATTACAGCTATGGCATTCAAGTACTCATAACTTCTTGCATCAATTAAAAACTGAAAGATCAGAATTTGCACACCAGAAGTGTAGGTAATACTGGCCGCTTTGCCCCAACCAATATATGGTCTACACGATATCTGAAAGTGGAAAACTGGCCTTGTTATCAGTGTCTTTATGACACACAAAGGGAGTCATAAGTTCACAATGATAGCTCATTACATAAGAATCTTTACAAATTATTCAGGACATGTGGAACATATTAGATTCATAGAAAATTTATCTCTGATTACTTTTTCTCCAGAAACCACGCAGATGCTAATATTCTGCAAGTTCACTAAGTTAAATCAAACCAGTAAGAATCTTCACAAATTATTCTTGACATGTGGAACATATTTGATTCATATAAGATCTGCTTACTTCTTATTTTCAGAAACCACACAGTTGCAGATATTCTGGAATAATGTCATTCATTGATCGCTTATTGAGCTATTACAGGTATAATCCCCACCCCCACCCTAAAAATGACTATTAAGTAGATGTAAATGAAAAGTGACACCACACTCATCCTAGCGCATCCATCATCCAGTGTGAGATATAGAAACAAGTGGCCTTTGCCTCTTACTTTTGCAACTTTTAATGGTACCTAGGAACAACTTAAGGATCCTTATTTTTTCTTGTGATAACTAAGAAACCCCCAGTTCCAGTGGCACGCAGGTCGAAATCCAGTGGATAACGAGTCTGGCTCAGGGTACGAATTTGTGACGTGCTCCTAATCCATTTGAAGACTTTCTTTCAAGCTGTTTTTTTTATATATATGGAGATGAAGTTGATAGAATAGTGAACATCCTAGAAATTCAGATAGCATCCGAACCAAATCATCCTAATAATTCATTGTATAGAAACTCTTCAAAATGTATACCCCACTCAAAGTAACTTCTACTATTCAAAGATTTGCAAAACTACAATTATGAAGCGAAAACAAATACTCCCGCTATTCCAATTTATGTGACACACAACCCGTTTTAGTAAGTCCCAAAAAGAATTACAGATTTCTTTATTTAGTAACAATTTAACTTTAAAAGTCTTTAAGATATGATTTATACCCACACAAACATCTATGATTTGTTTTAGAAACAAGTTTCAACCGTCTTTCTTACTTAAACTTCATGTCAAGTCAAACAACATCACGTAATTGGGACAGAGGGAGTAATGTTTCAAACTCCCAAATTTCATTTCCAATCAAGCACAACAACAAACTCAGTATAGATGTATATACATAAGCCACTCATGGCAAAAGACACCAATTACTATCACACATTCTATTAAGAACTATGGATTAGTCCATCATTTAACAAAAAACCCAAAAAGCTATAACAACCCACAAAGAATTGATCTTTGTACAACGAACCCGCCAATCGAAACCATCAAGAAACATTTCTACAAAAAAGTATTTATGGAAAAAAAAGAGTAACATCATCATACCATAACATAGGGTGAAAATTGATAGCTCACCCTGAAATCCCCATGACAATGGTGGGTTCATTGGTTCCATCATTCACGATACACCAGTTATGAGATGAGGTCCTTAGTAGCCGCTCCTCCAATTGCAACTGCTGCAGAATTGGGACTCCATTAAGTCTAACAAGATTCATCAATGGCAGCAGCCCTCGTGAACTCATCGCAAAAAAATCAAATCTTTACTATTTTCTTCTACTAAATTAATGATCTGTATGTTCACAGCTGAATTGGGTCTTTCCTAATTTCACCAGAAAATCTATAATTTGTGTGTTCTCTCGAGGAATTTCAAGGAGAAATCAAAAGTTTCTTTTTTCCCTCAAAGAATTAAAGCCTAGCGCCTACCATATTTTAGTTTGACATTCAATACAAACAACTTCACATTTTTGAATTTTAAATAAGAAAAAAAAAACAAATTATTGTTTTAAGATCTTGTTTGTCTTTGTTTAGGAAATTAAATATTATAAAATTTAAAGAAAATATTAAATTGATCTAATATTACAACAATAAAATATTTTAAAATTTATAACAATTGGTGATAGTGATGACTAATGATGGTGATTGTGTGTGATTCGGGATAGTGTTGTTGGCTAATGGTAGTGGTTGTAGGTAGTATATTGTGGTTTAGTAATTGGGAGCAATGATTAATCGTGGTTGTTGTTGGTGACGATTGATAATTAGTAATGGAATGATATTGATAGCTAATGATAATGACAGTTGACGGTACTAATGTTGATTAATTATTTTTATTATCGATAATGATTAGTGGATGTTATAATGGTTGGTGGTGATGATTGCAAATGATAGCTAATGGTGATGAAAATTGATTTTGGTGATTGATGGTAGTGACGGTTGTGGTTGAGCTAAGGATAGTGGTTGTGGACGGTAGGAGGTGGTGATTGACGGTGGTGATAGTAGTTGTTGCTAAAATGATGACTGTAGGGTGAGTGAAAATAGATGGAGTAACAGTGAACTATCATTTTTATAGACATTTTAAATGATATTAGCAAATTGAACCTTCTCGAATTGTTGTTTTTTAAGAACCAAAAAGATTTGTGCCAAAATAACAGATGCCACAAAAGTTCTTGGACACGTAATGGATCTTAAAGTACTATTTATGCATCTCTCTGACCAAAGCCACCTACATTAGGATTACTCGTTAATTGTTGATCAAATTTGATAGATTCGCCCTCGGAAACAAGAAGTTATGGTCCGAGAGGGATAATATCAACCACTTGACATCCCTCCGACGCATTTGTTATGGTTATCTCATACCCCCTTTTTTCTTTTCGTATAATTTTGCTTACTATACCTGTTGTTGTAGCATTATAAATTGTATTGTTACTCTTGTTGCCATCGGAATAAACCTGACCCCTTTCCTTGTTCTCGCCTACATATATAGGATATTTTAAAAAGTGAACACCTTTCTTAGTAGCAGGGTTTAGGGAAAGAATGGGGAAGGTTAATTCCCTAATTTTTCACTAGGGACAGAGCCTACCACAAGAATATTTCTAAATGATTAAGATTAAATATAAACAAACAAAACTTAAATTCTATATTTGTTCATACCTTTTTTTTTTTTACGTTATGTTCAATTTCAAATGTCTATTTGAAATAACATTAATAATTTAATGAATCGTTATTCCAAATGTCTATTTGAAATAATATTAATAATTTAATGAATCGTTATTTCAAATGTATATTTGAAATAATATTAATAATTTAATAAATCGTTATTCAAAAAGCAATTTATGATTCGATTATATAGAAGTGAAAATCAAATGATTTGGTTATATAGAAGTGAAAATCAAATGATTTGATTATATAGAAGTGAAAATCAAATTAGAGGTAGTCTTTGGTTTCTTAAAACAAAAATATTACTTAAACTCACATATTATTATTTATTGGTGATGGCATATATCTACAATAGATCATTACTTTATGTAAAATATTTTTTAATTATTTCTTAAATTTTAAATTCTCGATTTCGAACTTCAAATTGAAATATTGACCAAACTGTTAAATTAACCATTAACAATTTCAAACATATAAGGCCAAATTAGAATTGATGCAAAATTTACTTTGAAAATCCATATTTTCTTGTAGTAGTAATTATATTTTTTTTTTAAACATTTGAACACACCTAAATTCTCATAGACAATCAAATAGCAACACAATTCATAAAAGAAGAAAAAAAGAAGTCCAAAATGTTCCAAGTCTTTAGATAGATCCATCATTCATTGTTATTCAACTACTATGATGAAAAATAATACTATGTCGTTTCTCTTCATCTTCCTCCTCTTAGTTTTGGTTTCATGGCCATTCATCACGGCGGCGGAGACGGAACAGCAGAAGCAACAGTTCGCCGTGGAGAGTGGAAAAGTATTGGAACTTGATGAATCTAACTTTGATGCTGCAATTTCCAATTTCGATTATATTTTGGTTGATTTCTACGCTCCTTGGTGTGGCCACTGCAAACGACTTGCTCCTCAGGTCTATTTCCTTTACTTAGTGTTGTTTATTTTTTTTATTAGAGTCCTCTCCTTTAATAGATCTTACTCGAATGTTGTAGTAATTCGTAGGTGCAAATCACTTAACTTACTAAGCTACGATTGTAAGTGGATAACTGCAATATATACGATTGGTTTTCTTTACTTCCAGTGTGATAATTGACCCAAATTACTAAGAAGAAAAGCCAAATGAGTTGAATGAATTCAGATCTGAAAAAATTAGAATAAGCTTATACCGAGTTTTATGATACGTTTGCTGGGATATGTGATCTAAATTAGTATTAAAAATAAAATAAAAAATCTGATGGTGGTGTCTGGCCAGCTTGTATGTACCCGACTATTCGCCAGGTAGTGTCATATCCACCAGCACAACTACTGAGTAACTTTGGCCACCAACACTTAGGCGAAGATAGAAATCTAATCTTCTTTTGTTTCTGTTGGACTTTGAACTCTGGTCTTTGAGATTTGCACCCAGTTCATCAACCACTAGGCCATACACTTGGATGTGAAATTAGACTATAAAGTATAGACGGATCAACTAGATTGAGAACCATGAGGTTTCATGTTCTAATCCCATCAGAAGTAAAAAAACACTAGGTGATTTATTGTCGTGTGTCCAAACCTTTGGTGGACAAAGAAATAACTACCAACAAGGTTGCGTTTCTACCTTAATTGATAAAGGACTCTTCAATTAACTTCAAAAAGGTTGATTGCTTCTCCAATGAAAAGTTTTCTGGACTCAAGAATGATTATGTCATTTGGGCAATACGTAGATTTGGATTTCCAATACATTTTGTGAAAGTAATTTTTACTATTAATGCTTCCTAAGTATGTTCTGTGTTACCATTGTTATCAGTTGATCTTTCCTCTGAGGGGTAGCTGGTTGGCTGCATTAGCAAATTAATCTCCGTATAAAGTCCGCATACCCATATGACCAATGCAGTGTCTGTTTGGACTCATAAGAACAAATAATCTCCGATTAAGTAATGGATTATTTGATTGATGGTATTAAGCTTAAGATAACATATTTTATGTGAGAATCTATGCTTTATCTTATCTCTCTGTTGGATGGTTCCCCCCCCCCCCCCCCCCCCCCCCCCCCCCCCCCCCCCCCCCCCCCCCCCCCCCCCCCCCCCCCCCCCCCCCCCCCCCCCCCCCCCCCCCCCCCCCCCCCCCCCCCCCCCCCCCCCCCCCCCCCCCCCCCCCCCCCCCCCCCCCCCCCCCCCCCCCCCCCCCCCCCCCCCCCCCCCCCCCCCCCCCCCCCCCCCCCCCCCCCCCCCCCCCCCCCCCCCCCCCCCCCCCCCCCCCCCCCCCCCCCCCCCCCCCCCCCCCCCCCCCCCCCCCCCCCCCCCCCCCCCCCCCCCCCCCCCCCCCCCCCCCCCCCCCCCCCCCCCCCCCCCCCCCCCCCCCCCCCCCCCCCCCCCCCCCCCCCCCCCCCCCCCCCCCCCCCCCCCCCCCCCCCCCCCCCCCCCCCCCCCCCCCCCCCCCCCCCCCCCCCCCCCCCCCCCCCCCCCCCCCCCCCCCCCCCCCCCCCCCCCCCCCCCCCCCCCCATATGCACATTTCTCTTCTCAAGAATTGAATTCTATGTGATGCGTGATTTCATGTAATTTTCTGAATTTCGACCTCTAAAATCAATCTGATGAATTTAAGTTCATTGCAGTTGGACAAAGCTGCTAGCATTCTTGCTGATTTGAAGCAGCCCATAAGTATCGCAAAAATAGATGCTGACAAGTACAAACGTGTTGGTTCAAAATATGGCATCGAGTATGTGTGCTTTTAGCCTTATCACTAAATCGTTTTTCTGATATTAGTTTTACAATGTATGATCTGCATCTGTTTAATAAGGTTTTCAAGAACTCAAAAGAAAGGTAGGTATTCATTAGGTTGATAAGACATCTTTCATACTTCCTCCATTTCAACATGTTCGTCCTACTTTCCTTTTTAGTCTATTTCAACAAGAATGGTTGTTTTGGCAACTCTCTAATTTCAACTTTCCACATGGTATGTGTTTAAGATTACGATATTAAAGGGCATATTGGTGCATTCCACATATCATTAGTTTAAGACCACGAGATTCAAAAGTCTTTGTTTCTTTCTTAAACTGTGTCAAGTCAAAACTAAAAGTACCATTTGTCAACGACTATCATTTAATTATAAAAATATTAGTCTTCTTATAGATCAATTAAGATGTCAAACTGGGGAATGCAGTGCTGGCCACAGATCTAAGAGGCTGATTCCGAATTTCCAGCCCATTAACCATTCCTTCCTGAAGTGATAGTGATCACAACAGTTTGCTTTAAAATTGGATTTCATTTTTACTCTCTTAGGTACACCATATAGGCAATTTGATTCGTATTCACCTGTGTAAAAGAAGATGATGTGTTTGAAAGTAAAGGAGTCACAACGGAAGTTGAAAAGCAAAAGATCTAGATGTTGATAGGTCGTTGAGGGCCTAGCCACATCCATCTTTCTGTGTCAGTACATCTGCCACGTCCTTTTTTCCTTTCCTTTCCCTAGAACCTCCATTAATTCTACCTCTAATCTGATCTCCTTTGTTCCTTTCCTCTCTCAATCTTGGATCTCTCCTTCGTCAATATTGGCCCTTCCCTCTCTTTGTCTAGGATCTCTTTTGTGCTAATATAGTGCTGATACTTCTGTGTATGTGCTGGAGTAGGAAGTAAGTATCTTTAGCTAAGTCTGTTGGAGAGGCAGATTAGCCAGGTGACATACACGGAGAGAGTAATCAGGATAGTTGAAATTGATGGACAAAAGAGATGACTAGCTGGACAGGGATTGAGCTTTTTAAGTGGGAAGACTTGAATTTGGATTCTGATCTACTTTCTGCACCGTCTCTATATCAAATGAGGCTGGATTACCCCAAGAGTTCAGCTGTCGTGTAATTCAATATGTTACTTTTTTTCTGCAAGAGAGCACTGAAAAGCATCAAAGTGAAGATATATTAGATGTTGTTTGCTCTCCCTTAAACAACAACAACAACAACAACAACCCAGTGAAATCCCACTAGGTGGGGTCTGGGGAGGGTAAATAGTACGCAGACCTTACCACTACCTCGTGGAGGTAGAGAGGCTGTTTCCAAGAGACCCTCAGCTCAAGAACATCAAATCTAAGTGACTTGCTCTCCCTTAAACAAATAAAACAAATATAATGCTGAGCTGCAGGAACACATGCTTTATGGAAATTAGATTACTTCTCCCTTTGACCCTTGTTTATGAAAGTAAAAGACACTGATCATTATTATTTTATTAGAAGATAATGAATTTCTTTTTTTGATCTCAATGCAGTGGATATCCAACTTTAAAGATATTTATGCATGGTGTTCCAACAGAATATTATGGACCAAGAAAAGCAGATTTACTTGTACGATTCTTGAAGAAGTTTGTTGCTGCTGATGTGGCCATACTCAATTCTGACTCGGCCATTAGTGAATTTGTTGAAGCAGCTGGCACTAGTTTTCCTATATTCATAGGCTTTGGTTTGAATGAATCTGCTATATCACATTTTGCAGTAAAATACAAGAAGAGAGCATGGTTTTCTGTGGCAAAAGATTTTTCGGATAAAACCATGGAATTCTATGATTTTGACAAAGTACCTGCTTTGGTAGCTCGTCATCCAAACTATGACGAACAAAGCATCTTCTATGGCCCCTTTGAAGGTTAGCTTATCATTGTCTGTCATCTTAGGCTTTGGAAGTAATTAAAATCTCACCCTGCTTATCAAAAAAATATTCATCCCTTCCTAGAAACCAATAAGAGTTAATACTTTTTCATCGCGTAGGAAGCTCCTGAGCAAACCAGAATCTTGTGATAGTTAATATAATAACAATACCACCTGCTCTGTGTTTAAAAACTTGCTTTCATTCAACGATTGGCCCTTTATCCGTATTGTGTCACTTCAAAGCAGAAGTCAGCAACTCCAGATTCTGATGTGCTTAAATAATAGGGATCAATCATATAGCTAACCTTGACAAATTGATTGAAGAAGGCAGTAAGATCGGAAATTTCAGTGTGCTGCTAGTTGTAGTGCCTTCGAAAAGGAAGCATTCAAAAACATCAGCTGACGCTTTTGATGAATTCTGAGATCGTTTTGATTAGGTGGTTAAGTACTTGATTTGATTGCATGACTATTACCTTATATTATACTTTTCAGTTGATTAAATTGTTTTAGGCTTATTACCCTTCGGGGTGGCCCAGTGGTTTGGGCTTGGGACTTTCATGTTGGATGTCTCAAGTTCGAAACCCCTTGCCAGCGAAAGCAAGGGATTTGCCTTCTGGGTCGAGCTCGTCGCACCGGGCTTGCCTAGTGCAGGTTACCTCTCCTATGTGGTTTGCGAGCTATTGCATAGGAGCGGGGGTTTTACCCTGTGCACACCCAAAGGGTAGCGGCTGCGGGTTTTCCTTGTCACCAAAAAAATAAAATAATAAATAAATAAATAAATTGTTTTAGGCTTATTTATGAAAAAAGTTAAATTGCTTTAACTTCCAACCTGCCAACATTTGCTGTATTTTCTGTACTACATCAAAAAACAAACTGATTTAAGAATTGAGCTGAAGTTGTGTCTTGGGGACTTCTGTGAAATATTGGTGAATATCTGAACCTTCTTCCTGCTATGGATCACAGAAAAATTTGTTGAGGATTATATCAAGCAGAGTTTGCTCCCACTGACTTTGCCCATTACTGAAGAAAATCTGAGATTGCTGAAAGATGATGAGAGAAAAGTTATTCTAACAATTTTGGAAGATGAAAGTGATGATAGGTCTAAGAAATTAGTGAAGCTCCTGAAAGCAGCTGCATCTGCAAACCATGACTTCGTGTTTGTTTTTGTCGGGTTCAAGCAGTGGCAAGGGTTTGCTGAATCATTTGAAGTTTCTAAGAAAACTAAACTGCCAAAAATGGTTGTTTGGGATGGCGATGAGGAGTACTTTTCAGTAAGTTCTTTTACTTCTTTTTCTCTCCCTTTCCAGGTCTGCGCTAGGGATTGCATGTTTGTCGACCCTTATCAAGTGTAGGAAATATATGCTTTATTGTTTGAAGTATGAACTTTTTGTTTGTGTAACACGGCTAAAATATAGTGCCTTCAACTTATCGACTAAAGTGAACGATGAACTTTTCATTTTTGCTTAATGTTCTGACTAAAATAAACAACAGGGATAAACTGTACTTAACCATACATTATAAATGGCATCATTTCACTGCATGAAACTTAATTATGTTGTTTCTCCAAATCGGTAAGATGCCTTTTGTGAATAATATCTACCAGGCTAGATACTTCTGGTAATTTTCAGTGGTTGATTAAAAGAGAGACAATTATTTACACATAATCTAATTCTAGGAGAAGTGTCTTTTGACTAAATCACTATAAATTTTACATACTGATTACTATTTTTTTACTCGTGCAACAGGTTGTTGGTTCGGACAGCATTGAAGATGAAGATCAGGGGTCCCAAATTACACAATTCATTCAAGGATACAAAGACGGAAATATTATACAGAAACGTATTAGCTCTGGTTCTTTCATGGGTTTCATAAACTCAATGATAGGGATTGGAACAGTGACCATCATAGTGTTTGTAGTTGCGGTGGTGATGATTATCCAGTCTTTGAAAGAGGAACCCGTAACTGTTGGTACAAGGGACGAGGGAGATCATCCAAGCAGCTCCACCTCTCAGGCGGAAGCCAGACAACCACTTCGTTCTGGAGAGAAACAAGACAAGGAAGATTAAGTTTTACACCAGTCAGACCTCAAATAGTTAGCTTGAGAAATCCTCGACAGGAAAACCAAACTACGCGTAGGTCTAAAGAGTGCTGTTAAGTTTCATTCTCACCATGATCACGGCCCTTGTTATCTTATGAAAGTTACTTCATCAACATACTTGTAGGATTACTGTAACCGGAAGTGTGGAGGGAAGAGTTTGTGCTTCAATCTGTGTTATTGAATTTAACAATTTGTATTTACAAATGTGGAGGCAAATTTAGTTTTACCACTGTGTAAAATGTGTTTAAAACTAGAAACAATGCTGCTGCTAGCTTTATTCTGTACACAATCTTGTTTTAGCTAATACCGCTGCTTGTTTGGCGATTAATGATAGTCCATGTGCTCTTAGTTGGCAGTTGGCACCAATGATTGAGGACTTAGTATGCAGATGGGAGCTCCCAACCTGTATACTCTGAATTGGATGTAGAAACACACAAAGCAATATCACAAGGTGTTGCTGATTAAACAAACTTCCTCAACCACATGTGCAATATTTTGAAATCAGTGGATGTATCAAAAACTAAAACAAGTAAAAGACTAGATTTAGTCACCTCAAGGACATTCATATTTACAGGCAACTACAGGCCTCAACCATCTATCAGGTGGACATGGCTAAAAACATCACTATCACTAGAGAATCGAGGGTAAGAAAAAAAAAAAAGCAATAAACAAAAGAAGGCGCAATGCGTACAGTAAGACACCCATCTTTAAGAATGTACACTCGGTAAAAACCTCAAAAATATCAAACCTATCCAACTACTAAACCAATATTACAGAAGTGTTGAGCAATGAAGCTAGCTGTTGTATTCCTCTGTCCAGATGTCACAGCAACCAATACGAATCAGCTATATTGTCTTCAGGTGAAATTTGAGGTCAGAATAACTCGACCTGAGTTCCCTGTAAGGGACTTCAACAATTCGATTAATGTTTTCCATGATCAATCAAATCATGACTCACATCCAGGAAGAGAGTTAGCTGAAGCAAATGGTGAAAAGCTTGTAATTGATTCACTGTGATGCAGTGGGTTAGGCTGCCGACTTGTTGATCCCATATAGCTCGACGAGGGATTGCTAGGACTAGGAATGTATGCAGACCCATATCTTGAATTAAGAGGTGATAGACAAGGATAACCCAATGAGTTGGATGAAATTAAGTAAGCTGCACGAGATCTTTGAGAAGATGCATTTTGAAGGTCCAGTGAACTTCGGCTTATAGTAAGATGTGGTGACTGGTACGACCAAAGTGAATGCTGGTTATGAGAGCTAGAGATTGATTGAGGACGAGAAACTGAAGGTGATTGAGATTCTCCTGTGCCTATATGTATCACTGCTGATGATGCTAATGATGACCTCAGAGATGACATTGAAGATACAGATCGCAGACTGGAAGAAAGCAATGGTGTAGATTCTGATGCTGGTGGTTCACCAGTGCTAGTTCTTGCATCCCGTTTGCAGACAGGGCAAAAGGTTCTCCATGATGTCAGCCAAGCATCAACACACATAGTGTGAAATTCTGAGAAGTTTCCACAGGACAAGTTAATAACTGAAAAATGCCAAGTGATCCAGCAGAAATAAATTCTGAATGTGAACATACATCTATGAAACGTAACAACAAATACTGCATTTATAACAAGATAGAGCAGCTGGGGACAAGGGAAATATTCCAACAATATGATACTTGGAACCATAACTTCTAGTTTTCACATAGTTCACCCCCAAGGAGACTTCAGAAAATGAAATAACTTCAAAAATCAGGTATGAACTGTATTTATAACTGTTCTGCTACTTTGGAAAGGGTAAAAGTCAAGATGTTAGAAGAATATGCACACAGTAATGAATGATCTTCTCTGCATCATGATACCAAGTTGGAGCTACACAACTATGATGACAGGCTTGTGGGACTCGGCAAACAGATACCAAAAATTAGTAGTTGGAATCTTCATCATATCCCTGGAATAACAGACCTTAAGAGTTTTGAACAAGGCACTGCTGGGGAAGTGATTATGGAGATTTGGAGTTGAAGAGCAGGCATTGTGGAGGGAGGTGATAGCACGAAAATATGGAGTCGTAGAAGGGGAATGGAGGTTTAGAAAAGTATTATGAAAGGTTAGCCAGATTTCAACGGCTTAGTTACCTATGAGGTAGGGAATAGAAGTAGAGTCAACTTTTGGGACCAACAGTGGTGCATAGAAGTATAGGAGGACAACCTTTCCCAACTTATTTAGAGTTCCGTACTAGAAAGAGACGATGGTACAACAGATTCGGGTGAGTCAAAAGGGGGGAGTTTATTGTCTGGAATTTACAAGATTGAGAGATGGATGAATTTCGAAGGCTGATGGAAACGCTTTACTCCAGACCCCACTCGTGGGATTTCATTGGGTATGTTTTTGTTGTTGTTGATGAAAACGCTTTACAAACAAAATACCACACTCACCAGTGAGAACCCGTAGAGGTGGGGTGACAAGAAGTGATGGTGCTGGGTGCATTTTCAGTAAGGTCACACTACCATAAACTTTTGGTGGGAGACGAGTCAAGTTTCCTTAGTGATGACACTAAAATTGTTTCATGTTTAAGAGGATACATTAGTGCTTATCAACCATGATCAGTGATTAGTCTGCCATGGTACCAAAAATCAAAAGGAATGAGTATCCTCCTAATGGAGGAACAACCTTAACAAAATGGTGCATTCATAACCTTCAACATAATTAATAATCCCACTGTCCCTAATTACTTGTCCACTTTTGAAAACAATTATTGTCATAGTGAGTTTACCATTTTACCCTTATTAATTATGAAGCGGATGAATTAAAAACTTAAGATTTTCAAAAAGTTCTACCTTTTTCAAAGTAATTAATTGAGGGTATAATAGGTAAAATAAAATTGTCCTTTCTTGATTTGTCAAAATGGACAAGTAATTAGGGACACCTAAAAAAGGAAAAATGGACAAGTAATTAAGGGACAGAGGGAGTAAAAGCAAGAACCAACTATGAATGAACAACTTAAAAAGTAAATAACCTCTATAAGAGAGGAATGAGGACAACTTACTGTGCCGGCATGGAAGAATTCTAAGCTTATCTCCAACAGTATAATCTTCAAGGCATATAGCACATGTCACTGATGTAGAATTATCCTCCACAACTGATGTAAATATCAAACTTGGCATAGCTTTAACCAAACGGCTACTAATACCATGAAATTCACGAACACGAGAAGCTTGGGGCCGTTCTCTTCGTATATGATGTCGGCGAACAAAGAAACACATTGCAAGTACAGCAGACATAGCAAGTAGTGAAATGAAAGACGTAGCCATGATTGACCAAGCTGAGTTTTCCAAGGTTGGGATTAACCATACTTCCATATCAGGGCCAGCATACTTTGTGAGTGCTTCTCCAGAAGCTTTTGAAATGAACACTGCCAGTATCTTCACACCAGCAGAGGTTCCTGCCACTGTATCGTGTGTCTGGTTAAACCTTTGGTTGTCAAAAACAATGATGATCAGACTCTTCAAAAAAACAACTGCACCCATGTCGGATCCTCCAAAAATGCATTACTTTTGGAGGATCCCACACGCACCTGGAACCATTTTTGAAGAGTCTGAGCTACTTACTCAAAATTCATCAATTTTTTTGAACTTGGTAACTTTACTCAAAAATCAACAATTATAGAAACTTAAATCATTCAAAAGCAAGAGATGAAGATGGTGTTTGAAGTCTGACAAAAGTTCTATGCGTTATCAGCACAAAAGGTGCACAAAAATACGAAAAAAATGAGTTTGGGGGTTAATAGGACCCTAGTTAAGTTTAGGTGTGTCTCTGGGATTTTGGTCATAGTCAGGGGGGTACTTGTGCCTTATCCCTTTTATTTTCCTAGTGGAAGGGTGTAGGCAAAACTAATCCGCTAGTTTTTTTTTTTTTTATGACAAGGGAAACCCACGGCCGCTATCCTTTGAGTGGGCACTGGGTAAAACCCCCGCTCCTATGCAATAAACTAATATGCTAATTTGTCAGTTCTATGATATGAACATTTCAGATGCACCATTGTTGGAACATGCTGGCTCAAGCCAATCACAGAAGACAAACATGTTGTAACGATCATGAGATAAGCTTGGCAAGGATTTTGAGCTTTTTATTTTAGGTTATTTAATTTTCAATCCGAGCATATTTAATTGGCCACATACAAGTTTTGCCACACCTAGTTTTCCTAAAAATCATCTTAAAGTCGTAAACATGTATTTAGTACAGTTCAGAAGCCATAATGCCAATGGACAAAATAGAATAAGCAAAAAGCTGTGAATTCAAATGTATCACATAATAAAAGACTAAAAGAGATCTTAAGAGCTGGACAATCATTTTTCTGTTACAAATTGGAGTTTGTTATATTTTCTGAAACTTCCTTCACATGGATCAATCTCTCTTCACCAGATTGAAGGACCCTTTTATATGTCGTCCTATCAGTCTTTATGAATAACTAGTTAGCGAAGGAGTATAGTTGGGTTGATCAATTGACAGTTTAGAAGTTTCATCAACATTTTATATGGGATACACAGAGCATTAGGTGATTAAAAGCAAAGCAGCAGGTTTGCGTCAAAGTTGCATATTGTTGGATAGCTGGCTTGTGCAAGGAGTAAAGAGTTCAATGTCAATTTTAACTAAATCTATTTTGAAGGAATTACTTCTACCCCAATGAATCAAAACTACTATCAGCTGAGAGAATCTGACAACTGTCTGCAAGAGATTTCCCTTGCAATAGTTCATGAAGCCATTTTGCCAGTAAGATAGACACCAATAAAAGCTTTTTTCAAAACTATTTTGCAGACTAAAGTTTCTTATTTTTCCAGATCTAAAATCAGTTAGTAGGACTATTGATACTTAAATGATTAATATTAGAAAAAATTCAAGCTTAACCTTATTCTAAAACTTGCAATCAAAGAGTTCAAGAATGCAGCACATGCAGCCATTTTTACGCTAAAGATTATGATTCAACTACTCAGTACAACGATCTATTAGATAGTGTCCTTATGCAATTGTGATGTAATCATATCCCATCTCAATTGGGCATGTATATTCCTAGGCTTTTACAGTTTTTGTTTGCAAGTTCATGATGATAGCATGGGCACTTTAGTGCGTCCTCAAGATATGATTTCTGGTACCATTATACCACTTGATACGTTAACTACCATCAAACATAATATAAGCTAGAACAAACTAAATGAACAATTGAAATAAAGAAAGAAACTTATTTTTTTGATCAAGTGAAATAAATATAGAAACTGTACAATGGAAGAGTTCATTACTTGCAATTATATCACCATATCCACTATCATAGATAA